CCAGTTATATTTAGTTCACTTCAATTTAAAGCAAATTTGTTTTTACAAGCAACAACTGAGTAAGCATTTCTAGTGCAGTAATTAAATCTGTCAAGACTTCTCGCCTGTTGGGATGGGAGTGGATGTGGGTCACTTAGTCTCTGTTACCCAAAACATAAAGCTTTTCCCACTGATGAGTTGACATTTGAAGGTCATGATTTTTTTCATTTACTCATTCATTTGTTTCATTGTCAATATGGTTCATACAACATGATCTAGTTTCTGACTAATTGTAACATATTTATTCTGAAATCAGGAAGTTTCCAAGAGTTTCTAATCAGTGATCACAGACATCAGCTATAGCTGGGGCATACAGAAATGAGAGAGGAAAGGAGGGGGACTTGTGTTCAGTGACAAGAATAATTTTTTTTTTTAATTTCAACTGCCATGACTCTACATCTAAGCTTCTGTAGTGTTTCCTGCAATTTACCGATACCACCCCTGCCCCCACACCAAAAAGGGAGATATGTATAAAGTTACACAAAAATGAGAAATAACATCATCTAAAGTGTTTGGTCTTAGTCGTAACTCATAAGTTTTGTAAAACAAAAATGTAAATGTATGGATTTTTTGAAAATAAAACTTAAGTTAATCAGGGTACCGCAAAGCGGAGCATCCCCTCGCAGTTTATCTTTAAATCAAGACAACATTCGACATCAGTCCCGATGCAATTTACGTCACTTCCGTTTAACACCACTCGCTAACTAACACACTCACAAACACACACACAAAAGCATGTTACTATATCCCCTCCAACTCCGTTGCGAGGGGATAATACTAGTAATAAGATATATAATGTACCCACGAAGGAAAATATTTGCAGCCTCAGCAACATCAAAAACAAAATTTAAAAGAATCATGTTGACAGCATCTTGTTTGAGTCGTTTTTATATATAAAAAAAAAAGAGGAACCAAATACATTTCAGCACATCATTATGGGGATCGACATGCTTTTAAAGTTCCCATACTCCAGTTAAATTAATTTTATCAAAAAGTGTTCACCATTGTTTATATCAAACAGCTGCATCAGTGATACAAGTACTTGTTGATAGACATTGATCAGCAAAGTACAAAGAAAGCAATAACTCAACAGAAAGGATGTACAGGTAATACCAGTAATATTTTTTAAAAATGTTTTTATATTACTTATCATATATATAATTTCTGTTTTGAATCACATCAATAAAAATAAGCTTTTTCTTTGTTCAAATATTGGTGAAATTTATAACACAGCCCCCTCCCCAAGAAACAAAATTAAGGTAAAAACTTTAAGAGTAAATAATGCATCATTGTTTAAAATGCACAGTGTGTACTTACAAAAAAAAAAAGAGTTGTTGAGTATATTTCGATAAATATTTTCCCTTTTATGTCTTATAATTAATCCTGGGCATTTAACTTTGATAGACTTCTAATTGACTTCTAATACATGTAGGCTATACACCTAGATTCTGTAACATTTTCCCTAATTTAACCAGAAAAAGGGAGATACTTGTGTATGTAAAATTAATACACATCAAATTAGGAGAAGAAATAGTAACCTTCAAATATCAACAAAGAGGGTAGCTTGCACTTTAATAGTACATTAATTAAACCCCCCAAAAAAGTGCCCTTGTAATTCAATTGTTGTCATCAGTTCTGCAGTGCAGTTGTTTACCCTCTATCTGTTTGATATTATAAAGCTGTCAACACCTCTTACTAGATTTGTCTGTTTGGATAGGTGAGCAGGATCATATATCTGAGCTTAGTTTAGATGTTGTTAATGTATTACCTATAGTCTTGTTTTAAAAACATTTCTAGGTGATTCTCTGTTTCACTTTGACATTTATAGGTCAATAGTTTTTTGGCTGCACAGATTTCTTTTGTTTCTTGTTTCGTTCATGTTACACAAAGCCAAAATGACATTGCAGGGGAGAGATTGTATGCAAAAGAAATTGTTTTGTTCTCTAACTGTCTGTACTGTTATGATACAGACTCCACTCCATGACTCCATAAGACTCCACTCCACTCCACTCCACTCAGCTTTTTACCCCAAGCCTTTGAAATAGGCGTTAATCGGTGTGTTCTCGGTAGTTTACGGAATAAAATGCTTTTTCACTTCGAATCACTATCAAAGTTCAAAATACAAATACTTTTGTTACAATTGATAGATACATTAAAGAAAGCAGCAAAATGATAACAAATTTGATGTTTAAATAAGCCTTTTAAAATAAATCGATGTCTCCGAGACTATAAAATTCAAGATGGCGGCGCCCATAAAAAGTCGGACACGAAAGGAACGGTTAAAGAAAAGACATAAATTGATGCACCCAGCTGTTTTAGGAGATCGTACTTATGAATAGAATCGTATTTGTGATTCCGTGCATGGTTGTGAGGAATTCTGTCATGGTATAACCCAGATTTTGACCAGTAAGAGTTCGTTAGATGGCTGGAAGGAGAATCATCGAGTTTGATGTTCATTGTTTCTGGTCAGAGGCCTCAAATCGTGCTCAAAATGTCACTCCGGACAATTATTTTTGACCGAGAGAGCAATTAAAGATGAAATAAAACTAGGGTTAGGTGGGTTTCAATACATACAGTGCGGAAATTGCTTGTTCCCAGAAGCTGAGAAAATGCAAAGGGATGCAGAACTTCAGTGTCAATACTCAATACACAGATTGGAACAGGTAAGCATTTATAATTATATTTGTTTATAAAAAAGATTAATTTATGTTATTTAATTTGGACATTGACAAGTATAAAATGTTATTGGAGCTTAATTTCTCACACCTAAATTTTCATCACCATGAAATGTTGTATAAGGCATATAAATAGGATTTACATGTTCACACATCTCAGTAATTTTATACTTCAACAATTGCATGTAATATGATTGTATCTATCCCTTTTGTAGCTTTAATCAACAGAGTGGGAGGTCCTCAGAAGATAAACAACTTGTTGATAACACTAAATCTACCATCGAAACATAAAAGAATTTTAAAGGTATGAACAGTTTTATTATATTGTTTGATACATACAAATATATATTAAATCTGGTGGCTCTAAAATCAAATATTCATTTGTCAATTTGCTCGGGATTCAGTGTAAGAAAAATGTTTGACTACATGCAGTAGACTATGTTATGATGTCGGACAGAATTATCTCTGCTGCAAACTTTAATGACTCAGATGTTACATGTATGAAACAATCATACAGTAGTATTTTTCATTTCAACAGGAGGTGTTCAATGCTGAAAAATCAAAGAACATTGGGTTGTTGCGTGAGCTAATTACAGTGCTGCTATCCTATAAGTTGACAATCCTATCCTATCCTATCGTGAATCCTGCATCCACAATCCTATCTTGTGATTTCAGTCTAATCCTATCCTATCCTATCCTGCTACTTTCAGTTTTTTAATATTTAGGAGTTAATTTGACAAAACAAAAAAAAAAAAAATAATAAAATGACCTTTATATAAAAATCAGTTATAATTATGGATTTTATTTAATATGTTTTAATGATAAAAAATAATCGAGATCAACATCCATTAATTCCCGACACCCCGCACGAATTAATATTCGAGTACCGAGTTAAAATGTAAACAAAGGGACTGTAATAAAACATAGGCAAGTACTGATCTAGCGAACGTGTAAAAAAAGTAAGCTTTCAAAAAATTTATAGAAAAAAAATTACAATCCGACTTTTTTAAATTTAATTTCACATACTAACAATGATTGAGAGACATCACGGTATTTGCGATTTCTTTTCGAATTTATACACTTTGATAAATAAATGGAGTTAAAGTTAGAGAGAAGAAATCGTGGAAAAAGGGGGGGGGGAACAACAACTAAGACTACAGATACTTTTCTAATGTTATGATTATTACTAAGTAGACTAAACGAACAAAATTTAAGCTCTTTAATTATGAGAATCAGACTATTAATGTCTATACCTTCATACTCATGTAGATCCAGAAAGAAGATACATGTATGACAAGACCATAAACCGAGAACAGACATTTAGAATATCTTAACTTTTATTCATTAAACATGTAAAAATTATTTAAATGTATGATTAAAATTTGTTTTATATTCATTGTTTAAAGTTATTCTTGTTTGAGATGTTCAGTTCAGCATTGTTTGAATTTGAATATTTTACAAATATGCAAAAACTTTATCATGTTTGCTAAATAAAAATCAAGATATTCAAAATGTTAAATTTTCTTATTTTACTTCACTTTGTTTTTAGTTTATGGTCAGTTCAGTGTCATGCAAATGTATTTCAATAACCATATTTTATGAGTGAGAATTTAATTTATGTTTAACAGAAAACATTTTCATAAATCTTCATAGATAGATTGACAGCAATAATTATTGCAGTGAACACACACATATTCCTTCGAATTCTTTCTTGTAAAACATGTATATGAATTCACAGTAGTTTCAGTATTTATAAGCCATATTTAAGTAAATTTTGTTTTTGACCTTGACATTTGATCTTGAATGTTATTCAGGGTCTAAATGAGGAACAAAAATGCTTGACCAAGTTGACAATATTTATTCAGGATAATTGCCTCTTCAGTGTTAAATATATATATTTTGGGCCAAATAAATCTCATCTACAATTTTATTTTTTTATCTACAATGTATAACAATTGAATGTTCCATTATGAGACAAATTCATCAGAAGTATACATGTATTTCAATGCCAAGCTCACAGATACATGTACATGAAATCTGTTTAAATTTAAGTTTATCAATGTCTTTTTCCAATCGTATGATGTTTTACATGCATATGATTTCGCCTCCTTGTCCGTCGCTCAAATTGAATTTCAAATGTCAAAGTTTGTGTCAAAGAGCTAGTCATAAGTAACCGAACAGTTTCAAAATTGTCAACAATGCACAGAAAACAAATACTTCACACACTGATCTCCTTAATAAAATCATCATGATTTCAGACTCTAGGGGGCTCTTGTCTAGTGGTTTGAACATCTTTCATATTTATTCCAGCAGCAGATGAGATGAACTGCAATATGTACAGCAGCAAATATGCAGGATCGTCCTAAAAAAAATCCAATTATTATCATGATTATAACAATATATGCATGTAGATTGTGCATTTTTGTCATATACATTATACATTAAAACTGTATTTTATTGTGATTATCTTTCTCATTTCATGTACGACTGGCTGAATTTTACCTTTTTTCTCTCCCAGAGTAAAGCATTTAAAGAAATCAAGCAAACTCAAATCTTATACTGCAACTTCATAGTCATATCTTAATTAAACAATCATAGTTTACTTGTAAATTGTAATTCATTTCATCTCGTCAACTTGTTAACTAGTATGAGTACATTTGTTTGTTTTTTTTTCTCTTTTTTGAATTCTAATGCTAGTATTAATCTATTTATGTTTTTTTGTTTGTTTCCTTCTTTGCTTAAAATTTGAATAAGAAAAAATTATGAAAATACATATAACATGATGATGACCATGTCAGATGACCAGAACAATAACAAACTGTTTTCAGTTTTACTCTTTTTTTTTAAAGAAGAAAAATCACTTATTCAGAGAATCTACACAGAAACTTCATCTCAACTCTGATAATGATATGTATTTATTATACTGATACCCATGCATAAACACATGTTAATAATCATACCTACTTTTCAAATGTAAAATCCTTTTTTCCTCACAAAATATTTTGATGAGGGCAGGCAAAACCAAGTATCATTCTCTGCAATGAAGAATAATGAATGATTAATATATAATTCATAACCCAGAATAGGTCATATATACAATGTACATGTAAGTGCTGAGTAGGCTTATAATACAATTTAAACAGTAGCATAAGATATGATTCTGTCTTTATTTTAATTGCACTCAAATAAAAAAACAAACAAACCATTTTTTAAACCACAGTAGGGAAATAATATAGTAATAACAAACTGAAAAAGGCATAATACATCTTATTGTTTTAGGACACATTGAATCATGACAGAGAATTTGTAAATTTTTAACCCTCTCCCCTTCGTACACTACCTATTTTTCCACACCCGGTTTTTGTCTATGTTATAATAGAATAAAATTTTGATAGCTCAAGTCATTATAACATTGTTAAAAGGGGGGAAATGTATAAACATGCACACATGTACAGTGTGTAGTATACTTACATGTTCTTGCACCAAACAACTGCGATATCGATCTGTTCAAGTCCGCCGTTGGCGGTTTGTGTAGAATTATCCAGACAAACAGAGCACATTTAACACAGTTACATGTTATTGAACTTTAAAACAAGTAGGAATTGGCTTAATCATCCAAACATGCTGAAGAATATAAGATCTCTTGATGTCCGAACTCTTCGTTGTTTAGGTGGCAGGGGATAGTTTCGTACTAAAGACCCGTTCAAATTTCTTAAAAAATTGAGATATCCCCTGTTTGATGTGATATTTTATGTAGAAAAATGATTAGAATAATTACGGGACACATTTGCAGTGTAGCAGAGTGCTTGCTGAAAAAAATGATGTGCAACATGTAGGTGTCACTATGACGCTTATCATATACAGAGTTGTAAATGCGAAACTAAGACACGTGGTCAGTTGCAGAGGAAATTCAGCTGAAAAGCAGTAGGCCTTAGAAGAAGGTGTGTATCTCAGAGGGAAGGTGAATGACCCCATATCAATTGGTGAATTTTTATTAGGGCTTGCATTGATTTACAGACTACTGGGTGTTTTATCCTGCTCGCTCGGGCCTGGGGGTGGGTTGTATGGGTGTGAATGAGGCCCAAATCTTGGAAAAACAAGCCAAAATTTGGGGAGTCCCCAGGTGCATTTTTGGTACATGTGCACTCTAATACGCAGATTACATGTAATTTGTTGACATAATTTGTGAGCCATGGGCATATGAAGTGTAATTAATTAGCCCCTGGAAAACTGTCCCCATGTACATGTTTTTATGGATTGCATGTATATGTGTACCCCCTCGGCACATGTTTGGCATTTAAAAAAACTATCCCCTGCTACCTTCAAGAAAACACCAATTTTCAGAAATATGTAATTTAGTCTAATTCTTCTCTAAATAAGTTTATTGATGTATGCCATTTTCAAAACTCACCATATTTCTTTCATTTGACTCTTATTCATTTAGGTAGAGAGACCTAAACACAAGGGGGGTAAACCTTTTCCAATACACATTTTCAAAGAGTTTGAAGCATCAGCATAACAAATCTTAACAGAGTAAGGCAATTTTTTTCTGAAAAAAAATTTATTTGCTTGAAAATAATAGTTTGGGCACTGTCACATATATTTTATCAAATTTTGATGCACTTACTAAGTATTAATTAAAATTAAAGGGGCTTAATTATTGCGATATCACTGAAATTACATAAATTTACTCTTTTTTACATGTATTTCACTAAATATCATTATTTAGAAAAAAGAATGAGTCAGTATGCAAAAATATCAGTTCACAGAACCACATTTATTGAAAGAATTGCTGTGCTTTAATTTTTTTTCAAAATAGACCCATTTTACTATTGATGATTACATAAAAAAATTCCCCCCTCCCCTTCATTTTCCCCCTCATTTGTCTTCTATAATGTGATAGAACTTAAACTTTTCATTATTTTCATATAGATTATATATATTTCTTTAAATTAGAACAAAACAGATGGTCTTTTTGCATATTTAATGGACAAAATATCAAAAATATGTACATTTTCATGTAATTATTGGATTCTACTAAGCACCTGAAATTTACTCACAAATGCCAAGTAAGGACAGGATGATCACTTTAAATATTCAGGGGAATCAAATGCATGTATTTGATCATTCAGATATGTTGAAATTGAATGAAATATACTCAGAAAAAGGACAGTTAGGAAAATCAGATTTCCACAGTATATTTTCAATAGAATCAGGTAATGGTTGGAGGGGTAGGGTAGATAACTGCAATTTCCAGGACACTTCTTCTTGAACCTTTGATGCAAGAGGGGTTTTTGTATATTACAATAAATATCCTGAAAAATAGATTAGGTTTTCTTTTTGCAAACAAGCTGTAGATGTATAAATTCAAGCAATTAAGAGGTAAAATGGGATTTCTCAAAACATCAAAAATAGGAGAGTATGTGTTACATGTGAGTACATTTCATCAAGGCATGCAATTCTTATTGAGTTTTTTATATGTAGCTGCATTTGAAATTGATCAAAGTTACCATTAAACACTGTTTTGATAAGAAATAGTTTCTTTTGGATTGTAGGAGTTGGTCATTTTTGAAGTAACACAAAGAATATGGGGTTAAGGTGGTTGACCGACAATTGGTGGGGTCACTTATTTGCCTCTAACTTTTTTATTTTTCATTGAAATAAGACATATTTAGTATATTTTTACTCAGAATTGATTGCACTTTCTAAATATGGAAAGTTATTTTAATTGAAAAGCAAACTTTGAAAGTTAAAGGTGGCAGGGGATAGTTTCGTACTAAAGACCCGTTCAAATTTCTTAAAAAATTGAGATATCCCCTGTTTGATGTGATATTTTATGTAGAAAAATGATTAGAATAATTACGGGACACATTTGCAGTGTAGCAGAGTGCTTGCTGAAAAAAATGATGTGCAACATGTAGGTGTCACTATGACGCTTATCATATACAGAGTTGTAAATGCGAAACTAAGACACGTGGTCAGTTGCAGAGGAAATTCAGCTGAAAAGCAGTAGGCCTTAGAAGAAGGTGTGTATCTCAGAGGGAAGGTGAATGACCCCATATCAATTGGTGAATTTTTATTAGGGCTTGCATTGATTTACAGACTACTGGGTGTTTTATCCTGCTCGCTCGGGCCTGGGGGTGGGTTGTATGGGTGTGAATGAGGCCCAAATCTTGGAAAAACAAGCCAAAATTTGGGGAGTCCCCAGGTGCATTTTTGGTACATGTGCACTCTAATACGCAGATTACATGTAATTTGTTGACATAATTTGTGAGCCATGGGCATATGAAGTGTAATTAATTAGCCCCTGGAAAACTGTCCCCATGTACATGTTTTTATGGATTGCATGTATATGTGTACCCCCTCGGCACATGTTTGGCATTTAAAAAAACTATCCCCTGCTACCTTACATGTGAAGATTCTTCCGGTAATCGTTCACGGTTAAATCGTACGCAATGTCACTCGAAGTTAATTATTAATTTGTGTTAAAATAAACAAAATATGTTTATTTTCTATCGTAATTTTATAAATATTTCTTTTGTAAACGTTTTAAAACGTATTCTGTTTTTGTAATTAATTCTGAAATATGAATCAACCTTTACTCGAATCTGATTGGCTGTAGGATACAGGATAGGATAGGATAGGATTGGATTAACTACTATATGTTTCTATCGTGAATCCTCAATCCTGAATCCTATCCAAACCCATCCCATGTCAACTTGTGGGATAGCAGCACTGTAGTAAAGGTTTTATGAAGATGAGTTTGGCGGAGAACATTGCTGGGTTCGGGCTTGCACTTTCTCATCTAAAGCTCATCTATGGCAGGGATGGTGAAAATGGATTAACTTTTGTGTTTTCTCCCAAAACCAGTGATGGCAAACCTAGAGTGACTGGAACATCTAAAGTTCGACAAAATGTTGTCCCAAAGTTGTGTGAATTTTTTGCTGCCACATGAATTTATCAATTGTACCTAAATAAGTTAGTCTGTTTTATGGATCATCTACTAGTGTATCAAATGAGATTAATATCCCTATAGAATCTACAGGTATACTACAAGTACTATTTATTGTGTTATTAAAATCCCGATATTTATTTTCTAAGTCTTTCTGTATCATAGATTGTTTATCACTCTGCTTTGATACAATTACTGTCACTATCAATGTTTAAACTTCAGTATTTCTGTAAAAAGATTTATTTATTCTTCTGTGTACATTTTAAAATTCTAGACAATATAAATTTGCAGTATTAACAGAACTTCAAACCATTTTCATTTATATAAATCAATTTTGTACATTGAGTCATGAGATTCATATTTTTTGACTTGCAAAAGGTAAAAAAAATATTGTTGAAATAATTTAAGGGAAAAGAGTTTTGACATATCTAATGCATTTATAAATATTTCCCTTTCAAAATGTTAATGTTCCATGGTAAAAGCTTGTTGCAAATGATTTTATGAACATGAACGTTTATTTTTCAAAAAGACCATTTTGTCACCAGTTAAATATTTTTTTTTTCTTTCAATAACACTCTTATTATGGTTCATTGTCTAATATTCTTTAATCTTATAATAAGATAACAAATTGAATGAAAAAGTAATTGTGGTGGCATTATTTAAGGAATAAACTTCTTAGATAACAAATTCTGTGATTTTCCTTACATTTTAGTTTTCATCAAGAGTTATCTTCCTTAAATGAGTTGTTGCCCTTGATGACCCAATTTTTGTATTTGTCATGACCCATATGTAAATTTTAGAACATAAAATCAAAGGGTTTCCAGGCATCAATTTTTACCCATTTGTACAATGAATACCTTAACAATGAAAGTTTTTGCAAAACATGGCTTAAATTCGACGAATCAAAATTACCATCAAAATTATATATATATTTCCAACAAAATTGCTCCATCAGCTTTCGGGGTCCTTTTATAATTAAAAGTAAATCAATTTTCCTGGACATTCACATGAGGTCAAAAAGCATAACACACTTTCTTGTGTCTTATCAATGAGAAATGCGCATATTACAGGTAAAGCACATTTTAAAAATGAAAGTTCTGTCTTCTCGAATTAAAGAGTTATGACCAAAGTAAACGTTATTGTAACAAAAAGTTAGACAGGTTGATAGATGGACAGAGGAAGAAGATATAATGCTCTCCTAGGCACTTTCGCAAATGCTGGGGACAAAAACTCGCATATAAAGTTAAAGATGCACACGGTTAAATAAATGTAAATATGTAAAGAAATGATTTGAATTTTGTTGTACAATATAAGAATTTAAAAAACTTCAATGACGTCACCCATTGTTATTGGTCTACTTATATTTTACCGATTCAACCATCACTAGTTGGATATTTAAAGATCCAACTGGCCATCAGTTCGATATTCAAATATCCAACTGCTTATCGGTTGGATATTTAAATATCCAACTGTGCATACAAACATAATTAAGCAATGAACAAAAGAGATAAAAGAGTTGAAAATGTATTTCCAATGCACATAAAAACCAATTACTGCGAATTTGTCACACTATTAGAATTTATGTCCAATGCACACGGAATTTTAATCACTTTTTTCACACCATTAGAATTGTGTTAAAAATGTACTTTCATTGCTCACAAAAATTAAAATTCCTCCGAATTTTGCACACCATTAACACTTGTTGTCAATAAAATATCTACTTATCCGATGGTATTTTAATAGAATGTTTCCGGTCTTAAATTTTGAAAGCATCTCTTTTTGACATGCTTATGAATACATTTTCACCTTGAACCAGAGCTCCCACTGGAGCGAAAATATTTTTCGCCACTTTTCGTGATGAAAGGAATCACATTTTTACATCTCGTCTCGACAAGTGTATGTTAAACACTCCACTAATAGCACTATTTCAATTTGTTTATATCACATGCATTGTTTTAAAATTGTAAGATTTAAAGTTGTATCCACTTACAAAACTGATATAGGAATTATTTCTACATTTATACAATTAATTTGATACTGATATTAGCCAACTCTTGACAGTAGATGTCCTCTTGTTCATAACTTTTTAGCCTGGGGAGGGGGGTTACAGACTTAGTAAAGATATATGACATTTTTTTAAAAAATGAAAATATAATAGGCGAAAATTTTAACAATTCAATCAACAATTTATTGTGAAAAGAAGTAATTAAAATCATGTTTAAAACTTGGCTTAATTTGGACACTGGGTGTATATGCATGTAAATTCATATAACTGAAAATAATTCAGCGTAATTGACAAAAGTATTGTTTTGTTTCCAAGTCAGTATCTGTTTCACTCTTTGTCAGTTTATGGTATAATGAACACACTATTTTGACTTTAATCAGGTAAAATTAGCAGCCATGCTCTGCAATTTTCGTCATGTTTTCCTACTTTCGGTTTAAAAAAAAACAATCTATATAGATCCAGATTTTATTGATTAAAATCTTTTATTAACTAACTTCATCTCCCCAAAACACTTCGTCTTTCCTTGTTTAATCCATCTTATATTATTTCAAGTAATTTTGTATCCCCTTACTGCTCCAGGCTAAAGTTACCTACTAAATCAGCTGTGTGCGTTCAAGCGAGACATGATTTCCTACATGTACATTGCTTTGTTAGTTTCATGGAGTTTTCACACCCTGAATTCACACGTCTGCTTGCATTAAATAAACAAAGGGGCTTATCTGTACACATTGAATAAACAAAGGAGATAGCCAGGAGTACACACACTTTTGTATGGTATATTTTAAAAAAAAGTTCATTTTCGCCACTTTTGAATTTCTTTTCGCCACTTTTGGAAAAAATTCGCAATTGGCGCAAATGGCGAATCACAGCTCGAGCCCTGCCTTGAACCTTAATCCACATCACTTCCTGTTGCTGAATGTTATTTCAGGGATGCGTTATTAGCAAATCCTCTCAGATTTTTCGAGGTTTGTCTCTGTTCTCATACTTTTCCAGCGTACTTCCCAAAACAATTTAATAAATTGACACCCCATCTTTTTTTTGTCACCCTTTTTATTGCAAATCTTGATATGGAATATTTTTAAAGCAGGTTCCGCATAAAACCGACAATCTTTTCAACTGTTATAGTACTACTAGAAGTATTGTCCGAATGGAGCTCCGCAAGATTCCAACACTTTTCCCCAACAAATCATCATCTTACATGTCATGATAGATTTCCAACCTTTTATCAAATTTTGTAGTTTTCTTCTGCTTTCAGGACAAAAGTATTCAAAACACTATCTGAACCTCTCTAAATTTACATTGGATTTAAAACTATTCTTCATCCGATTCCATGACTGTTCAGAACAATGGAAAGGTTTGAAATGACATTAGCACCATGCGGTTTCATGCTCACTAGTCCATGAATAAAAGGGGTGCTCGATTAGGCTATTGTATTGCGTCACTGTTGGATATCTGAATGGACTGGATCCCATTGTATTACAGCAAAGTTGGATATATGAATGGGTAAATGTTTCTTTGGGGTCCAAAGTGGGGAAGTTATTTAAGTAAGATAAATAACTCGATAGTGTTGAATAGTCGGCCCTCGGAGGGAATGTTTTCTCTAAACTATTCAACACCATCTCGTTATTTATCCATTACTGAAAATTTTACATATCTTCGGGTTATAAAAAATACAAAAAATATTGGGATTCAAAATTTTGCAATGTTCTGTCCAACTGGAAAAATTAAGTAAACAAAAAAGAATATAGCAAAAAATATAAATGAACTTTTTTTCACACACAAGGATCAAAGTACCTGAAAAGATATTTGTCAGCATTTTGCACAGACTTCACTAAATGTCATGTGAAAAGGGAGCAGCAACTTGTTAGAACCAGAATTGCATCATTTTATATTTGTTAATATCATGCGGATTTCGGAGAACATGTTTAGGACACGGTCTTTTTTCTTTCCCAGTAATTGTTTTTACTCCTACAATTTGACTTTCTCTCAAAAAATACTCATCATCTTCATCTGTAATGTTTATATCTGTACAAGAAAACCCTCTCTCATATTCAATGTGTCTATGAAAAGTTTGAGTTATTTCGTTAATTAGACTTTCCACGGTATCTCTTATCTGTATGACGCACTCAGACTGCAAATCCATGTCCTTATCTGCAGTAAAAACCTGCAACTGGATGGATGTTTTGTTAACAGCGATGGCAATGCAATGGCTAGCATCTTTTACCATGTAAAATGCTGCATTTTTACAAAAAAACTCCATATCGAGTGCTTTCCATACCCTAAAGCAGTTTACTACCAGTCTAAAGAAGAAAAAATGCGGCAAGTATGTTTTGAAATGGAACACCATAATCGATGTTTTTTGTCCTTTGTTGATTGCATCTTTACAGTTATCAGTAAGTTCAGTTCTGTTCATGCTCGGGATGTAATATGTTTGACAGCTTAGATCATCCTGAATTTTCGTCATTAAACCAAGTTTGTCCATGTATGGCAAAATATCATCTTTATGTTGAATATAAGAGCTGTCTCCAGTATATTCCCATATGTCTGTCAGTTCAAAGTCAGTAATTCTTCCTGTGTTAGTCCATATATTTTTGCTGACTATTCTAGCTAGATGGTTTTCATCTGTTATGATGAATTTGAAGGCATCAACAAACCACTGAACATCAACAATTATCACTTTTTCCAATTCCTTCTCAGAAAAATAAACGATCTGACCTATTTCATGTAAAAACTGAAGACCATCTTCAAGATCTTTATCTCTAGGTAAATCTGCATCTTTTATTTCTTTAAGTTCTTGCTTCAAAGTAACCCTCGTTTTCCTTTGCTTCTTTCTAAGGAGGACTTTCTCAAGGTTTGCCCATTTCAATGGAATTTCCTCTCCCCACTGTGGCAATTTTTCTACAGTTTCTACTATACATTTCCTGAGGCATTCGATTATCTCCAGTTGTTTAGGTTCCAATGCCTTTGGTGGACATTCAACTTCAATATATTTCTTTGGAGATATGAGATGTTTCAAAGATTGTTCATCAGATAAGGAACTTTCCAGCTCCTCGTAGAACATTTTCTGCAAACCTTCTTCCTTCTTGAAAAAGAAATGTACAAAAATATTAATGTGTTTTTAAATAATGGACGAATACCTTAATAAGTAAATTAATAAATATAAGAAAATGTAATTTCGTATATTTTTTAAATATTTTTTTTTCATATTTGGGAAGATTATGTTTCGACAAGAAATGGTTTGGACATTTTGTATTATCCTTTCCATCCGTCATTCCTTGTTTTCTTTGTTATTTTGTCATTCCATAAAAAAAAATAGTACATTTCTGCTGTGGTTGTAGAGAGGGATATCCTATTTACTACTTTACTTTTTATTGACGTTCTACATATCCTCTTATAGTTTCATGTTCCTTATTATTTAAGCCAAAATGATTGCCTTAAGATTTCTTGAAAGTCTACGTAATACTATTCAAAATTGTCTTAACTTCGTTGCTTTTAAATAAATATCACATTTTGTATGTCTCTGTATACATTGACAAACAAATCGTGTAGAATCGTTCGTGAAACGTGCCTAAACGTTCTAGTAACGTGAGAAATCGTGAGTGAATCAGGCGCAATCGTTTGCTATTTTAATCGTCCCTGATCGTGTAGTACAAAACGTGAAAATTTCATTTTATCAGTTATTTATCGGAATGTTATTTGAAAACAAAACGATGTTATTTATGTGAACTGTTAACTGTAGTCTAGATATTTATATATAAGTTCATCAGAGAGGTATATTTTTTTTTACAAAAAATAAAACGATTCCCAATATTTGCATAAATACTCAGTCGGCGAATATACCAGACATGATTGCCGGGGTTACTTTTATCCTTTATATTTACTTAATATTTAAAAAATCATCAAATAAATGAAGAGTTTTAACAATGGCTGAGATGCATAAATAAAAAGAGGCATAAAGTTGTAATTCATTTTTTTTGGTGCCAAATAATCTTTCATATTATTTCAAATCTTATCTCCATCTTCTTCTTTCAGATTCAATAGAATAAAAAAAATCACAGTCCTCCTATATCATCTGATATAATACGCAATCGATCATAAATTACATCTTAAAGCATCGAACAGATAAAAGATATTTTCCAATATTCCTCAGTCAATGAATTACATATGAACATCAATTCTCTGTAAGGACCAAAAATGCTTGGTCACGCACTGTTATGGAATTTTATTTTATCACTATAATATTAGAGAGTGCCCTATATAAAGACTATTGGTGGGTAAATTTTGGACAGTATCTCCTCGGTTTCCATAGCAACGACTTTAAAATATTTTGTTATGGCAAAACTGACCTGATTGTCACCACCATGTAAAATAATTCCTTGCTTCCTTAATGTAGGAAAGTTATCAACATAACATGGGTTTCATTTTATAGCTAAGTAATTAAAGTTTCTGTGCATCTAAATTTTATTCAATTTAACCCAAGGTTTTTAATATGATACAGATCAATTTACAAGAATTTGTCATAGAAATGAATACAAAGGCGCCTATTTCTTGATATGCATATTAATTTTTGCAGGCAATTGAAACTTAGAAAAAAGATATTTTTAGTAAGATCGAGCTTAGATCTAAAAGATGCAAAAAGATTTGAGGTGGGGAAATCAGTTAAAAGTCATATTCCGATCCCCTCAAATTATAACTTTTCATAAAAATTAACCTAGAGTTTTTTTTTCCCTTTGCTGACTCTTTTGCACTGAAGACAAAAAATTAAACTGGTGTTATTTCCCTTTGTTGACTCTCCTGTATTGAAGTCTAAAGAAGTTTATAACAACATATGGCAAAAACAGACGCCAGAAAAATTAACATGAAACAATAACAGAAAAATGATGTGTTTTTCAACTTTTTAAAATGGAATTCAGGTGTGAATGACAAAGTAAGTCATCAAAAGAAGGAGACACTGCTTTCTCAGCATTCAACTTGATAATGATGTACAGGTCTTTATTAATAATAGATTTTTAAAGTCAAATTCACTTTGCGAAATATTGAAACAAATTTTATGAAGTATGACTTGCATTCCCATCATGTGGGATTCCATATACTTTCTAAAACCCATGAGGAAAAATGCAAGATGCAATTGGAGGAATACAACAAGCAGAAGATACGACAGTCAGTGGGAATGGTTAGAACAACCCTAGGCACAGGTATAAATTTGAATTTTTTCAAATATTCATTTTGTATAAAAACTGCACGTAAGAAGCTTTTTCAATTAAATTGACCTAATTTTTAAATTAAATAATTTTTTTTAAATAATAGACTTAATAGGTCTATATTCAAAGATCACCATGTTAGCAGATATACATCTTAGTAATATATTTGCATTATAGGAATTTTTGCTTGCTTCAGAAAGCAACTTACTTTGGCAAATCATAACTACAAAGTTTATCAAAAGGAGGAGAATGTTATAGAAGATGTAAGTTTGTATGTAATGAAAAATATACACAAGGCAATTTATTATTAAAAAAACATATATTTTTGGTAACGTTATACACAGTGGCGGATCCAGGAATCTTGAAAAGGGGGAGGAACCAGCTTGGTGTCGGGGTAGGGGCTGAAGGCCACACCAAAAATTGATTTATTAAATCTGATGTATATTTTGGACACAAAAAAGGGGGGGGGCTGGACCCCCTCTAAATCCGCCAGTGGTACAGTTTAAAATCTGATTTGGCCAAAAAAGTAGTACCGGTAGGTGGTGGGTAAAAATTAGAGATGATCGACTTAACGGAAACACATAAAAAAAAATTAGCCTAAAAAGAAGTCATATAATTCAGATTCACTGTAAAAGAACAAAACATATTTAAATGTATTCTCTATTGAGAAGTTGATGGCTCGTTTTAATACTCCTCCTGAGGGGGAGTATTAAAACGAGCCATCAGCTTCTCAATAGAGAATAATTTAACTACAGCTATAAATACACACTAATAAGATATAAATATAATATACCCATGTAAATGTATGTATTCATGATTGACAATAAGAATGAATTTCTTTAATTTGAAAAAAAATATTTTAAACATATTTTAGATGTTTACTGGTGCTTTGAAAAAAAGAAGATGAAAAGATACCGGTACATAAAGAGAACCTCTTTTTTGTGTTTTTATCATCTTTATTTCAACACAAAGGCTAAATACAGGAAGCAGGAGGCAGTTACAAAATTAACTAATGGAGACAGAAACCTTGCAATTGACCGTGAGAACTGAACATCGGACAGTATCTTAACTGAAGAATATTCTTTTGGAGAAGATTCTGTTAGAGCATGGGGACAGCTTTTGGAGTAGGTGATGGTAAATTGTTTCAGTTACCTTTACCTTGCAATTGGCTACACTGAAAATACTGTATGCGTACATAAATTGGCGTATTCAAAATTTAGCGCAATCACTGGGTATAAAGTGGTTGGCGTAATCATGAATTAGCGCTACATACGTCTGTGCCATGTATTGTATTTATTAATGGTTTATTTACGGTATTCATTAATTAGCAAATTGTTGTCTGCTTTCAAGGCGATAAAATATGAAGCACAGGTGCTTGAGGATGGGACCCCCTCCCCCGCGTTCCGTACCCCAAGGGTTCTCCCCGACTTTTTTTAATAAAATATATTTCTATGACACATTCACAAAGTATTACAATTGAGAAATCCAAAATATAATTTAAAACTAACCTTTTATAAAAATTCATACTTTCTGATACTAAAAGTACTCTTTTAGTATCCGAGTGTATGAATTTTTATAAAAAATAAATAAAACAATGAACTTCATGTGTATAAACTATAAAAGAAGATGGTTTAACTGAAAACAGATATTTGAAACCATAAACATATAGATAAATTTATTTCATCTACATCATTATTTTAGTATATCTTGTGTATTCATATTTTTTTTAAATTTCATGTTTATTCCTAAAAATCTGTACGTAAGCTTTCCAGCCGTGGTGTGTCTGTGTTTGTGTATGTGTATGTCTGTTTGTTTATGTCTAAAGTCAATTAAAAAGAAAACACTTTGTGAATGTGTCATAGAAAAATATTTTATATAAAAAAGTCGGGGAGAACCCTTGGGGTATGGAATGTAGGGGGGGGGGGAGGGGGGGCCCGTCCCCAAGCACCTGTGATAGGAAGCCTGCTTTTTCAAGTACACATGCAGGAATTCTGAGGCAATTTATTTGGAGGTGTAAATACTAACTACTAGCTAAGTATTGCATACATTTTAATAAATATAGATATGCTTATATACTTGTATTTGTTATCACATGAAAAATGTAGTAGATATTAAATAATTGATTTTTAAGTATTTAAGTACATGTATGTTTTTTATTCCAGGGGAAAAGATGAAGATGATTATTTCACTTTTCAAACCCATTTAAAATTCTTCTTGACTGGTCAGACACAACACCACATAATGGTCAACCTCTGATGTAAAGAGAAATCATGGAAACATCAAGCCTAGCTGTTTCTATTGTCTACAAAATTGCTATATAGCAGTTATTTTCTACATTTTGTTTATCTCTAAATACACATTTTGGATAATGTTTAGATGTAGATTCTTGCTTGATTAATAATTTGGAAAAAAAAAACTGTTTTTAAAAGTAACGATAAAATTATACATATACACATGAATATGTGTATGTTTTCTGATTGTAAGAATATACATTAATGCTTTTATTTTTAATGGGGTGTTAATTTATGGTCAGTCTAAATAATTCTAAATTTCTTTATCCAAAAAAATTGATATCTAAAGATTTGCATCTGGGAACAAGCAAAATTTAAATGGAGGAAATTAACATTAGCTTATCAAATTTCAAACCTGCTAAATTAATATCTACCTACCTATGCATGAAAAAGTAATAATTTATTTTTTATTTTTTTTTATTTTTTTTTTTTTTGGTTGAAAAGTATCATTAGAGTTTTTATCCATTATCTTTTTCCATTTTTTATCTAGTATTTGAAAATGTTGTTTACTGAAATTAGTTCCAGTGAAAAGTTGAATAGCTAATTTTCTGTAGATTTTGAGTTACCTGCCCTTTGTAAAGGATCATAGAGAAACAATAATAATTCATTTAATTTTGTTTTGTCTTATTTATTATCTTTAATAATATTTACTTATAATTCCGTTTGTCTTATCTACTTGTGAGAAAAAATGTTTGGAAAAGAAATTTTATAAAACAACCAGTGTCTAGTAACATTTTGAAAAAAAAAATATTATTTGGCAAAATGCCAATTTTCGAAGTTAAAAATACCGAAAACGAAAAAAATCCCCACTCTACTTTTCATAAAAGTTAATTAATATTATTATGGTGTTTCTAAAATTTCAGGTGATTTTTTCTTCAATTGCCTGCATTTCTTGAAAAACTTCTTGAAATAAAGGGTAAAAACGACCATTTTCAAAATGTAAGAATTTGGTCATCTTGGAGCCATCAATTGAAGAATTAGCAGTGACTTGTGGAATTTTTTTTATTGTGTTATATAGTGCTTCATTTGTTCTATTCATATAATGTATGAATTATCTCAAAATAATAAAGATGATTAAACCACATGAAATCAAGTATATAGCATTTTTATGCTTGAATTGAGAGTAAATGGGGCAAAAATCTATATTAGTCCGTTACCATGGCAACCAAGGTAGTAACCTTAATTTTGAATGTTGATTATGTCATAATGTATGGACATTAATCACCTGAAAAAGTTTCATGAAAATCGCTCATGGTGTGTGCCACAGTCCTACAGTAAAATTTTTGTCCTTACTGAGAATTGATGTTAATAAGTATTTGTAATCTAAAATATTTATTACAATGTAAGTCTTATTTTATTTCTAAAATATCCATTCCTATTTTTTCCAGTTTTCCCAAGTTGATGAATTGCATGTACATAAACAATTATTTGTAATCTAAAATTATTAAGTTCTTTTCTCTTTTTTTTTTCTTTTTTATTTCTGTTTCAAAAATATCCATTCCTAAATATTTTTTACTATTTTGCGTGAAGAATAATGTGTTTGCATTAGCAATCGTGATCGTTCGTGTAATTAGATTAATTTAATTAGCTACAGCTCAGATTGATTTTTAATTGTAGAACTGAGGGTAATTTTTTTTAATCCTCCTTTTATTCAAATACAAATGTATAGTCCATCAAATATTCCTGTTTTGAAATGATTATTTTTAACACGTTTTTAAATTTTCGACTCTGTTCGTTATGTTTTGAAGCGGATATATGAAATTCAGATACTATCAAGAAAAAAAAAGCCAATTGATTTAACACGTTAATTCTCCGATATATTTTATGAAGGGTCATTGTTTCAGACTTTAGAAGTAGAATGGATAATAGGACGCAAAAATATGGAATACCTGAAACTCCTCATTAAGCCTCAGATATTCTCCAAATATATATTGATGGATCTTGTGAAATATTTCCTTACCACTTTGTCTGCATGAGAAGCAACCAGGATAACAGGATGAATGCTGCCTTTCACTTTAGTGTTTTCATGGTTTGTGTCGCTTTTTCCATCATCACAGTATGTTTGTATGGATTGCAACCAGAAATGAAAATAGTCTGGAAAGATCAATATTTGGAAATATGAATTGAGTGTTACTAAGACTCAAGTTTAAGGTATCCTTTGAAATGAGAGTGAAGTCTATCTAAAAATATAAAGCGTATCCTAACGTGTCTGAATTAAAAGTTTGAAAAGGAAATTTGACATAGTACTTTACATGCTGATCAAAGGAATATCAATATACTAGAATATTTTGACAATACAATCATACAGAGAAAGAAATTTGCCATTAAAAGTCTTAATATTGTTAGATTTGTACAGTAAGACCAAATCGGCCTACTTGTCTTTATTTATTGTATGTGATACATTATCCTCGCAATATAATACAATGCTAAGAATAAATCTTTACTGTAACGTTTAACTAATTTGATGTTCACATCTTCACCTAATAACTTCATAACTATAGATTCAATCATAACAGAATACAGTTTTCTACAAGATCTGAATTTGATTTTTTTTTACTTCTTGATTGAATGTGTTTGTCGTTATATGATTTTGGCGAGGATTTTTGTCAAAATGCGGTAAATAATCAAACGTTGTCTGTCCATTCATCCAACATTTATTTTCAGATTTTACAATTGATTACATACGAATGGTATTTTTCGCGACAAAGTTCATATTTGCTAATAGATAATACCACAAACAATAGGTTACAACAGTTGTTAAAGAAGAAAATAATTGACATTGCTCATCCATGAAATGTGTTTAAAACCAATAAAACATTCTCCTTGTACTCTTTAGAATTTCTTCGATTCATTCGAAGATAATCCGTTTAAATTTTATATTAAGTGTCTGAAATATGAATATAACAGACAGTAATCATGCTAAAAAGTCCAATTATATAAAACAAATCAGGAGCACAGCAAACATGGATCTCTAAAAACATCAAAGGTTGGATTACGTGCCATAGAGGTGTGAATATCCCCTGTCAACATGATCACCCGCCGTTTTTTTTTTTACTTGTCATGATCGTATATATGTTAAAAACATAGCTAACTACTTGTTATTTCAATTATTGTTTCGGTAAACTGAAAACATTGTATTTTTGCTTAAATTCAATTTACTTTATAGTCATACTGTTTATGATGAAGATTTTGTAAAATATCTTTTTTTTTTCTTATTTCATAACAAATATATGATCTTATGAGAGATTTTTAAAACAAAGGAGACGGGCGAACAAGGCATGCAGAATACCTATAGCTTCAGATACTAGCATATCAAAATCATATTCAATTTTTGAATTTTTGCTTAGAGTAAAATTCTCATTATTTAAATTTATTAAATTATTACAAAAACGGTATTGTAAGGAAATAATTCGATTATTAAAAAATATGGTATTCTAGCGGTTTCAAACCTAGCAATAAAAATCCTGAGTATCATTTTTTTTTCTTTCAGATTAAAACGCCAGCCGCTACACTATACAATTCCTGCAGGAATGTTCACGAAGCTGTCTTATACATGTATCTACGATCTGTACTAATAACATTTTAGATAAAGCCGTAGTCTTAAGATTCTCGAAGCTTTTACAAATTCCTGACTTCCCCAAAAGGTCTTTCTAACTTTAGGACATCATAAAACGTGTCCTAAGATCCTCTCAAGTTGGCTGTAATGGTTATGTTTTTGAATATTGCAAGTAAAAACAACAATTTCTTGTTCCTTAGTAGTCCGTGCATTAGCTGAAGCTTTACACAAATTATTTTTTCACTAATGTTATCCAACGGTTTCTTCTGTGCAAAATTAGTTACAATGTTCGATAATTTGCAGAATAGAATATGTACTTTTTTCCACCCTATCAAGATGCATCCGAGATTCGCACTTGGAATTTTCGACTTTTTTTCCCTATTAATAATGCAGTCAAGTAAGATACTTTTTTTTCAAATTTGAAAAGGGGGAGAAAAAAATAAATGACTTTTTGGGTAAGTGGTCAGAAAATATAACTAGCCAAAAAAAAAATAATAATAAATTCGGAAAACTTTTGACATGAAAAAAGTCACCACTCACAAAAACGTATTTAATATCTCTGCGTGTTGAAAGGGGGGAGGGAGGAGGGAGGGAGGCCCGTCCATACTTCAACAGAAAGTAAAGGATGGGGTCAGCCAGTCTCTTACTAAAATTTCCATAATAGATTAAAAGCAATAGACCACAGGGATGGGGTAATTGTAATTAGTATTTGTAATTGAGTGTAATTAATTACATTTTTAAAAGTAATTGGAAGTAATTTGCATTTGAGCCAGTCTTCAATTACAAGTAATTGAATGTATTTAAATGCATTTCCAAAAATGTCATGTATTTTCAATTACTTTTCAATTACATTTCAATTACTTTTTTTAAGTTATAAGTTTTAAAAAGGTGTCTTTTCAAGATACACAGTTCAGTATACCTGTGTGGCATGGGCTTGTGTTTGTGCAACAATTAAACGTCTTAGAATATTTAATTTGTTTATACAGCCTGTCACACTGCCCAGGGCAATAGGTAGAAGTCTAATTTTGTCCAGGTGTGAACCCCTCTAATACCCAAGAACAAAAACACTGAATAAAAGTTCACTATAGTAAAAACCTTATTCAGAACCAAACATGAATTCAATAGAAAATCATTCCACGTTTCCTTGTCTTTCTCGGTTAGCCCAAAGGTATTTAGTTGTACTAGCGACTTTAGCGCCCGTTGAAAGACTTTACAGCGTGGTTGGAAAACTGTTCAGACCAGAAAGATGTCGTTTGAGTGATGCTGTGTTTGAAAATCTGATGATGATTAAAATGAACTCAAAACTGTAAAAACATTTCAGTACATAATGCCTTGTGTATCTCAATGCCGTTTATATATGTATTTGTTCTCAAGATTTTTGAAAAATAAGACTTAAGTAATTGAAGTGTATTTAATTACATTTGTCAAAGTAATTGAGAGTAATTAATTACATTTGAAAAAATCAATGTAACTGTAATTGCAAGTAATTGACAAAATTATCAATGTATTTGAAAGTAATTAATTACATTTCAAAGTAATTGACCCCAACCCTGATAGACCATTTTCGGAAAAATAACGAGCCCTTCCAACTAACCAATCTTTTAATAACATTTCCTTAATAGGTTAAAAGCAATAGACCATTTTCAGAAAAATAACAAGGCGTCACTACCGACCAATCCCCCCCCAACCGAAACCGATCCTCCATTTATTATCATAGTACATGCTATTATGAGACAATAAAACAATTCAAAAGAGAGAAAAACTCAATAAAATAAGCTTTATCTGTAAGGGTCTAAACATGAAAAAAAAAACAAAAAACGAGGATATGTTCTGTTATTTTTGTCTTGACATTAGTTAAATTCAGGGCATATTGTTCTGTATTAAAATCAAATAAATATGTAAATATTTAACCAATTGAGAGTTCCAATACACTTACATTAAACACTGTTTTAGAAATAGTTTTTTTTCTCTGGTTTCGAGTCTTGCAAAATGCATTTTATTTTCTTTTACCTTATTTTTCAAAATAATAATAGGGTGAATTCACCATGCATCGGACACCCTCGTACTTCAACAAGTTCTAGCGATATCGCTACCGACCGAATATTATCAAAATGGAACTTAATATGTAGTATGTGGTTAAAATATAATTTTTTGACACAATCGTGCCCTATTTATTGAGAAAATATCATTAAAAACCGATTTTTTCGAAATAAGTCAGAATTCACCATGGATCGGACAATATTCACCATGCATCGGACATACGAAATTTAAACCAGAAAAATATCATACCTTGGTCTCGGTGCTTTAAAATTAGTATTATCGAAACATTTTTATCTTTTATTTAAAAATTAACCTTCTAATTAAATTTGAATGACTATTTCGATCCACAAATGTGAAGAGATTTTAGTTGCATCACATCGCTTAGAAAGGCTTTACAATGCTAATTATATGGCAACTCGCGTCTTTGTCGCGTGGGTTATCGTCATCTAGTTTAAAGAAATAAATAGAGTCCACTTCTAGTCGTCATATATCGATAATTTGTATTTTCACTGAAAATTTTGAGTTTCTATTTTCCATTTCCGTAAAAAACAGCTGTCATTTGGGTTTTATATGAAAGTGGAAGTGATTACCCATGCATCGGAAAGTGTCCGATGCATGGTTAATTTGTGTCCGATGTACGGTGAAATAAACATACTAGTTAAAAACAACTCTAAAAAATATTATACAAACACTGAAGTAAAATTTTTGAAAAATTTCTGTAAAATTATCAATCATTGATAAATTTTACCAAGGTCCGACCCGTTCCGTTGATGTCTATTTAAAAGAACGACAACTCTAAAAATTGCAAAATCGTAAAATTCTGGTTACTCCCCTTTGATGATGCAAAATATGACGTAATTTCAAGGCCATTCTTGTGGTATTTATATCACAACATGAAAATAAAAATCGGCATCATTAAAAAGTTTAAATCTTCACCTTTAAGACCGAAACAAGTAAAAACACAGGGAAACTCGGGTTCAATGAAAGTATATTGCTTAAAGTTGTCCGAAGCAAGGTATGTGTCCGATGCATGGTTAACTCACCCTACAGCAGACTATTAAAATACGTCATATCATAATCAGCTGGTATATCAACGAATTTCATTTTTTTTTTTAACTTAATTTAAAGCTATCCAACATTTTGAAGTTATTATTGCTAAAACTCCAATTTAAAAGTGAAGTAAAATATTTGATTTTGGTAGAAAAAATTATCTTGGTTCGATATGATTTACATAGAGTATTATTTTTTTTTTCAAATAACTGTGATGCAAATTATTTTGTCCTTGAATTTTGAGTGACTTTTATCCTAATGCGTATACTTAATACATGTTTCTAATTAAAGGATCAGTCACTGTAGCCTAGTGGAAGGGCGTTCGCTTCGTGATCGGGAGGCCCGGGTTCGATTCTCGTTCGCCGCGCCGCGTCAAACCTAAGACGTAAACATAGGTAGTGACTGTTCCTTTCTCCAAGCCCCCGGCATTACAAGTGAAAGTCACAGGTCTTTCGGACATGACCTTAAAAACGTAGGTCCCGTGTCAGGGTAGGTGTTGGCACGATAAAGATCCCTCACTGCTCAATGGTCCTGAATGCCGAGTATAGGTCTAAATTTGAAGCCCTTCACCGGCATACGGTGACGTCTCTATATGAGTGAAAAATTCTCGAATGAGACGTTAAACAATATACAATCAATCATCAATCAATCTAATTAAAGGTCGTTTATTTCTTTATATTTTTTTAAAAGAACGATTCTGGTATACATTTGCTTACTTAGCTTGAGTGGTAAAAGTGCTGTACCTGATCGGACTTAATTATAATGATAATAGAAAAGCATTAAAAGTGTTTAAGACCAGTTGGTTGAATGAGAAAAACAATCCTTTTCTTCTGAGTTACTAGCGTTACCTATGTGGTTTTTTGGTTCATTGATAAGTATATACATTATGTTTTTTAAAGTTTTTTTTTTACAATTTGGACATGCTAATGATAGTTCAATACATTGTGTCAATATGTCAATTAAAGAAAAAAATCTTGAAATATATCATTCCTTATAAATAATTTTATTTTGTTTTCAGAGAAAAAAATTATCTATTTTATTTTATATTCTTTAGACAGGGCTGCATACTGGAAAGAAGAAAAATATAAATATACAATTGTGTCAAGAAAAAAGAGAAGAAGAGGGAAGTCATAATGTTTATGTATATTGGAAATCACCTTTGTATTTCCAGGAATGGAACAAGGACCCGTCTGGATTATGGCGATCAGTGTGGTACTTCCTAACTTCTTCATCCAGACCCTTAGACATGTCAATGACCACGATATAAAACGCTCTTCTTGACAAGTAAACCTGGTGACATGCGTAATAAGCTACTTGTCCGGCAAAGTCTGTCATACTGATAAGCTTTCTACCACGGCTACTGTGAAGATGAATGCCTTTGATAACCATTTTTTCTTCCTCTGTATTGTGCCGTATAAATCTTGCGATATGGGTATTTTCCTCATTATCATTGCTGTAATCTGATTAGATGCGAAACAAAAAGAGAAACATATAATTATTATAAAGATTTGAGACAATCCTATGCTAATGAAACGAAATAAGTTATTTCAAGTGCAAATTTAGAATTTTAGCAGAATAAATGCAAAGTTTGATATTAGTTGTAGATTAATTTGTAATTGCTATTAAACTTATATATATAAATTAAACTTAAATCATTTTAGAACAAGCATCTAACATTTGACATTATATTCAAAGATACACTGTACAGAAATAAGAGAAAAATTACCATATAAGGTATCATCTTTAATTTCAAACAAATCTTCATGAACCTCAAGACCGACAGTTGTCTCTGTAGCTTTATTTTCTTCTGTGTATTTCCTTTGAAGCTTTCTAAGAAGAGTTGTTTTACCTGCGCCTGCGCATCCTACAATCATACCTCGTGCACGGAACATTTCTACTCTTCCATGGCGGAGACTCTCAACAAATCTTTTTCTGGCACTCAAATCCCATTTCAAAATTTCCTCCGGTATGTTCACTAAAAAAAGAAATAAATATATTCATGTACCTTTTTCTATCAGTATCTGTAAGTGACATGAATACCTTATTTTCCTTCTGATTAGGATTCGATGTGTGTTGTTTATAAAATCCATTTCAGTAGAGATAATGGGTATCACAAGGGTGCAAGTTTAAACTTACAGGAAAATAATTCATGTAAATTTCATTAGAGACCTTACATACCATATTTAAAAAAAGACGCACTTTGACAATGCTTAGTTGCATATTATGCTAAATTCTGGAGATGAATATGTATATTGATACATGTATAACACCCCCCCCCCCATATATATATATATATATATATATATATATATATATATATATATATATATATATATATATATATACATACATATATATATATATATATATATATATATATATATATATATATATATATATATATATATATATATATATATATATATACTAGACAAAATTGCTAACGCACCACCTAAATAAATTAACATTTTTCTTTTCAAAACTTGTTTAAGATGTTTTTGTTATATAATTATGTTACTTCATTAACAAATGAGACATTTAAATGTTTTTACTGATAAATAACAGCAATGTTTACTGAAGATTAACCACTTCATAGAAAAAAAATAAAATCATATCCATACTTTTTTGGTGGAATAAATTTCTAATTTTTTCTTTGTGGTTGTGTTCTTTATGTTTGTACTAATTAAAAACTCAGAAAAAAAGTTACACCGTATGCGGCGTTTATCTTTAGAAGAGCCTGCTAAGGCAGCCAGTATGGTATCTGCAGGGGGTTCCTTTGAAGAAAATTGCGAAAAATTAAAACAATTCAAAGATTATGCATTTCATTGGTGCAAAATTGTTGAAAATGAATTAACAATCATAAAAATGTTTACAATAGATATCGACGGCATTAAGTAAGCACCACACAATAACTTCAAGATTGTTCCACAAAATTGGGGCAACCGGAAGTTGGGTGGATTTGGTTGGAACACCAAGGCACTGGATGACTACTAAGCAATATGGTAGTCAATCAGGGTACATCATTTGATTTTCAAGTGGGAGACTGCTCCAGTCACAACCTCATGGACCACCTTCGGTAATCACCAACTTCATATCTTGGCAAAAACGGTGCGCAGTGCACGTTGGGACATTGGTTTTCGGACAAGAAGGTCCTTTAAGGGTCTTGACATGACACCAAGACATTTGTCAATCCAACTGTTTTGGAAAAGATGGCTTGTTTTATATACTAGTACCAATCAGGAAAATGATCAATTCACAAATAAGAATAATAAGTGGTGCATTAGCAATTTTGTCTAGTGTATATATATATATATATATATATATATATATATATATATATATATATATATATATATATATATATATATGATTGCGCCCATGGGAAAAGGGCCTTATGGCAATTTTTACACATTTTAAGTTTTTCATGGATATTAATAGAGCAAGGTTAGAAGTTGCCAAATCTGAATTTTTATGGCCCTACGTCAACTCTAAGTAGGTTTTTTCTTCATTTATATCGATGATACTTTAACAGGTAAACAATGACGTCATGTTACTTTCGCACCAACGTCAAAAGTTTTCAGTCAACATGACTTTCACTTTGCATTGTAATGTTACTACGGTAATAAATGTATGTTATTGAGCATTTCCAGAAACATTTTTGAGCCACTGTCTCTTTTAATAATTGTATAATATGATAATAAATAGTTGTATTAACTATTATCCATCATGCAGTGGTGTATAGAATTATGAGTGTTTGTTCGTTTGTTTGTTTTACATTTCACTATGCTGGAATGTCAGGAAAACCCGAGAAGCAAGCGGCTTCTGTTCAATATCAATTCATTCTCTCAAAACCAAAGTATTTATCTCGTGTAATAATCGTTTGAGAAACCTGTAGAATTCATTCGAAAATCATCTCATTTTAAGCATGGCTCTTGATAGGACAAGATGTCATTTTGGGGGGGGGGGGGGGGGGGTTGAATCCAGTATAAAAATGATATCTCTTTCAAAATGTGAAGTTAAATATATATTTTAAAAAATTCTCGGGAATAAAAATAAATAGATGCTGCTGGGTAGTGAAAATTTGTTGTTTTTTTGTTTTTGTTTTCTAAATATAATTAGACAGAAAATTTGTGAAATTTAGTGAGTTGCCGTTTACGCTGTATAAAAATTTAAGGACATTAAGTTGATAGACTACATGTTAAGCAATATTCGTTAAAAAAAAATTCAAACAAAAAATCAGAAGGACTTCTGCCCGCATGTGGTAACAAAACTTCTTTTTTTTAAATTGAAATGATACACATTTTTTCAGTCACAGCAAGGAAATTTTTGAAATAATTATATTTAAGTAAGCAGGTTGATAAATGATAAACAAATGAATGAATTATAATTCACATGCATTTAAAATGAAGGGAACAGATCCAGGATGACCAGTGGTTGGATTGGGGGGTGGGGGGTGGGGGTTAAAAGTTAAATGACAGAAACATGCAATACTTGTAGTTAATATGAGTTTAATAGCATACGAGGGTTGTCGTATTTTTTAAAACTTCCTACATTTTAGGTGTGGGGGGGGGGGGGGGATCCCTTCCCACCACTAACCCCATAACCTCCAAATACTTCATTTGGTTAGGTTTGAAATAATATTGAAATAATTCCTCAATTTATTTTTGCACCTTGAACTCTCTCCTTACGTACATGTATATGAGCAGGGTCATTTTCAAAACAAACAGCGATCATGAGCTCCACATGCCTGGAACTGGAAACTTAACTTCTATCAAATCTAGTTAATCATGAGAAAAATTGCGTCCAAGAATAACGATTTTGTTTGATTTTGTAAAATTAAATGGTTTTAGAAGAACATGTATACACTTGGTATTAATAGATATCGGGTATTTTATTGTCATTTCAACAAATTTTATCCGAACTTTGAATGAAATCAATATGTCATTTTTTAAAATTAATATCAAATAGATTTTTCTAAGAAATAAATCATAAATAATTATGTATATATATTGTCGTTATGAATCAATGACTCGCAGATTAATTAATAGAATTTTTTCGGCTGGGGGGGGGGGGGGTGTAAAAATTAATTGAAAGTTTTTATATCCAGTCAGTTAAATGCGACTGGTTCATAATATTCCTTGACAGGCTGAGTTTTTAAACGACAAATTTTTACGATGTGGCACACATTTAGGTACATGTAAATATTGTTATGTGATGGTGTGTGAAGACCCCCCCCCCCCCCCATTTCTCGCGGCTTCTTTATCGTATGAAATTCTAATGTTATTGTTTTCAAATGTTATTGTATATGAAGTTTTACAATATAAAAATTCCATTCTGGCCCCATGCCAGAGACTTGGATATGCTTATCCTTGTAAAGCTTTACAGATACACTGTAAAGTAGTTAGGTCCCGGTAATATAAAATGACCCTGGCCCTCTTCCCCGGTCTCCTGCACTGTCACAAAAATAAAAACTTGCAAACATGTTTGTAGTCTTTTGTGCAGTATATTTTTAGCATTTAATTTAATTTGTTCAATGCAGGGTTTTTTAAGGTCTTAAAATCAAGGGCCTGGGCCTTTCCATTTGGGAAAAAATAGCGTCATTTAGTTAAAATTGGGAAAAATATCATAATTCACATTTTACGAGATAAATTCAAATAGGAGCTATTTTTTGATTTGCAAAGCATTTTTTGACTAATTTACATTCAAAAAATCTTTATTGAAAATCAGCTTCACTTAATTGTTTGCTGTTCTGAAGTTTTATTTAATTTAAGTTTAATTATTTTTTTTATTATATTTAGAATAGCATTAATGTCATGTTTCGTCTTTTGGGAATTTTCTTCAATGAAATTGGGAAAAACACTCACTTTTTACCATTGGGAATGGTGCCTAATACAGAATGCTTTACGACCCCTACGACCCCTAAAAAAAACCCTGCAATGCATGTTTAAATACAATTTGATCTTAACAAGATTTATTTCAATCAATCCAAATAACAAAATCAGCCCGTTTAAATAATTCAACGGCAAGTTAAGCAATATCATACTAAACAGATAACTAAGATTATTATTTCAATAAGAAAACGAGTTTTAGATTGATAATAGAACTGTAATGACATACAATGCTGAGATTCTATGAATGCAGACAAGGATTACATATATTTGACATTTAAGTGACTAAAAACTGCAGATAAAGCTAAAACCTTTGAACTTTCTTATGCACAACACGAGTACCAAAATGTTATATTTTCGAGTTACTGAAAATAAATAGACAGCAAAAGAAAAAAAGAGATAGAGATTTCTTTTCATAATACGATATTGTTGTGTTTTTGAAAATTCGCCTTTTCATTTCACATTGTATTAATAAACTCGATTTAATGTAACATCTCTCTCTCTCTCTCTCTCTCTCACACACATCACGTATACATACATGTAAACTTTTTTTTAAGCTAGAACAATTAGAACAATTTTATTTCATTCGGTAGTTTTTGTTTGTTTTCAAGTACTTACATTGGAAGTGGCAACAACAAAAATAAGACGAAACATATTTTTTTTGAAATTTCGTTTTTATTTTATTTAAATTTAATATGATCTTTATTACTGAAAAAAAATTAAAATTCAAGTTATTTTAAAAAATAATTTCATGTTAAAATAAATAGATGCACATGTAACAGATTAAAAAAAATAAATGAAAGTCTGGTTCAATGTAGTATCTATTTCTTATTCTATATTTTTTTTCTCTTTCACTTTGACAGCTGCTAGTTCCATAAGCTTTCAAAAATACTTTTAAAGAAAATATAAATATAATACTTACAATTAAAACGTTTTTTTTTTACTGATGATAAGTAAGATTTTTAAAAATATTTTTTATACTACGGGAGCAAATTTGTATGAGTATGTTGATTTTGAAAGGTTTAAAAAAAAAGAAGAAAAGAAAGTCCCTCTCTGGTACCTCTCTAGTATCTCGCTTGTCTGAGTTACCTCTCTTGTTTTTATTTATAGTTCTTAAAAAAAAATATCCCGTCTGTCATTCGTTCGTAATTTTGATAGATTTGTGAAAACTTACAAGAATACTTTTCTTTTCTGTTGGAAGAAGTGTGATCAGTTTCAAATTTTAGGCAATTAAAGCATTTTACAACAAAAATTTATGCGCGATGTACCAATGCTTCAATGTTTACATGATCGCATCCTCGCAATCCAGAGGTCCTGAGTCAACACGTTGCCGTTGGACCAACGTGTTGACTCAGGACCCCTGGCTTGCGAGGATGACATGATCGATGTGTTGAGAATGGTGGGGCGGATCTTATACAGCAAAACCATTTCCTCTGCAATATTTTGATAATATACTCGTGTCTAACAAATAACTTCAATTTGTCTATATATCAAAAATCGCATTCGTTCATCCATATTCAATTATCCAGAAAAATCACCTTGTCTGAAGCTTCTATACATGTATAGGAAATGCATAGCACAGATCAGAGACGTATTATAAAGCTATGTAATAACATGTAGTAAAGAAACGGGTCTCGAATAATATTCTAAATTTTTAAATTAATATCAGTGGACTAGAAGATAAAGAACTGAATTAAAGATATAAATGAAAATAAATAATTATTTCAATGTTGAGAACGACGAAAGTGAGCTGGGTAGACCTGTCAATTAAAACGTAAAAAACGTGGATAAAAAAAAAATCTGCGTCGACGCTCACCGTCTGCAACGTCATATCTTTATGACGTTATTTCTCTGTTTTAACGAAATTGCCATAAGGCCCTTTTGTCATGGGCGCAATCATAATTATCAAATATATATATATATATATATATATATATATATATATATATATATATATATATATATATATATATATATATATATATATATATATATATATATATATATATTAGGGATGGCAATCGATACAGAATTGCCAATCGGTTAAACGTAAGACGTTCCGACCGATTAACCGGTTAATCGTAACAAAATACACATTTCCGGTCATTGTTTTTTAAAATTAATTCTATTCATACACCCCTAATAAATTAATATATAAATAAAAAAAGAAAAGAAAAATGGCATTAGTAATATTCTGTTTTCGCTTCATATGTATACTTTACGTATTTTAATTCAATTTCGAAAGGAAGTCCATAAAACATACATGAGATACATGCATCAAGGACATTGATAACTTTCTGACGACCCTCACACATTACATACGGTCATTCTGCATTGTCACCATAAACAGAAATAAAGTTTAAAGAGGTTGGATCCTGCTATCAAAGTACTGAGAAGTTTTTATCAAGTATATTTTTAGAATCTGCACACATAGCTCAATTAAATCATGGAGTTTTAGTTGAATATAGTTTATTTCGCATTGTACAATCCAAAATTATTATAAGAACTAAAACATTGTGCAGGTTTTTTTTAAACAGAGTTCAAGACTAAAATCTGCTAAAAAGCTCAGGAACGAACCTCTTTTAACTATCACTTAATTTACAACGTTTGTAAAAATATAATTTGACAGAAAACTGCAAAAGATAAAGAATGTAATCTGTTCCCAATACTCAACAGTGATTTAATTATTATTATTAAAGAAATATAGGACGAGCTGGGAACGACCTGATGTATAAACAACAATTAACACTCCACAAATTGACCAATTACCCCAACACCTCAGTCCGAAGAGTCCTAATAAATTAAATCTAAATACATGTATGTGAAAAAGTTTTAACTTATCAACATTCATAGATTTTTTAAATTGCAAATTGAATTTTAAGGAAATTTACACATATTTTCATTTTTTCCGATTAACCGATTACAGATTTCTTAACCGATTACCATCGTTCCGACCGATTAATCGGTTAACCGGTTACAAATTGCCATCCCTAATATATATATATATATATTAGAGATGGCAATCGAATACATTATCCGGTTAATCGGTTAACCGCAAAAACGTTCCAACCGATTAACCGGTTAATCGTATCAAACTACACAATTTCATTTTTTTTCAAGTAGCTCTATTCCCATGCTCATGAAGTCTTAAAAAAAAGATGTTAGAGATCAAAATCATTCATTTGTCTTTATTCTTGGTCAGTTACGTGCATATATTTTTTTTATTTCAACATACAAGATCAAATTCAGAAAACCATGAAACATGCCTAAGAAATCGTGGATAATTTTCCAGAGCGGATGTCACACTAGTTCATTTTTCACTGTCACCATAATCAAAACTAAGTCTTAACTGTATCACTTAATTTACATTGTTTGTTTGATAATTCAATTTGATAGATATAACTGCAAAAGATACGCACACCAATTCCCGATGCTCAACGGTGATTATTATCATTAAAGAATTACAGGACAGTCGGGGTAACGATATGATGTTTTAACAGTAAATAACATATCACAGACTGACCAATTACCCCACAATTTTAATCCGGAGAGCCAAAATTACCTCCCAATCAGCCTATATAAAAATATGAAAACTCTGAATTAAACGTTTAAGCAGGAATTTCTTTTTTTTAAAAATGAATTTCAGAAGATCGCCTTCAAATTTACATATATTTTAATTTTTTTCGACTAACCGATTACAGATTTTCTAACCGATTGCCATCGTTCCGACCGAGTAATCGGTTAACCGGTTAGAAATTGCCATACCTAATATATATACACACTAGACCAAATTGCTAACGCACCACTTGTAATTCTTATCTGTGGGTTGATCATTTGTCTGATCGGTACTAGTATATAAAATATGCAATCTTTCCAAAATAGTTGGATTCACAAATGTCTTGGTGTCATTACAAGACCTTTAAAGGACCTTCTTGCCCGAAGACCAATTTCCCGACGTGCACTGCGCACCGTTTTTGCTAAGATACAGTGTATGAAGTTGGTGATTACCGATGGTGGTCCGTGATGTTGCGACGGGGGCAGTCTCTAAGATAAAAATAAATTATATACCCCGATTGACTACCACATCGCTTAGAAGACATCCAGTGCCTTTGTGTCTCTGACAAATCCACCCAACTTCCGGTTGCCCCAATTTTTTCGAACAATCTTGAAATTTGTGTGTGCTGCTTACTTAATGCCGTCACTTTCTATTGTTAACATTTTTATGACAGTTAAATCATCAGCAACAATTTCTCTTAGAGGAATGCATAATCAATTAATTGTTTGAATTTTTCACAAATTTTTCCAGAGGAACTCCCTGCAGACACCAAACTGCTTGCCTTAGCGTGCTCTTCTAGAGTCAAACGCCGCACACGGCGGGGTAACTTTTTTCTGAGTTTTGAATTAGTACAAACATAAAGAACACAACCACAAAGAAAAAAAACAGAAATTGATTCCATCAAAAAAGTATAGACACGATTTTATTTATTTTTTTTTCTATGAAATGGTTACGCTTCAGCAAACATTGTTATTATTTTTCAGTTAAAAGATTTAAATGCCTCATTTTTTATTAAAGTAACATAATTATATATCAAAAACATCATAAACAAGTTTTGAAAAGAAAAATATTAATTTATTTAGGTGGTGCGTTAGCAATTTTGTCTACTGTACATATATATACGAGGGTTGTTCGAAAAGTTCATGGACAATGTCAATCCTCGTTATGTAACTTTCAAGAAATTTAATATAAGCACATTATCATATGTAAAAATATTTATTTTGTTGATATGTGAAGTTTCATTCCATTCGATTTAATAGAAATCAATTTACTTTATTTTAAAATCAACATGTTTGATAACCCCGGAGCAAACTAAACAACATTATAACGTCAAAAATATAGAGTCATGAGGTTCTCAAAATATTCTCCCTATACATTTCACACAGTCTGGTCCAATATCTGCTCATTTAAAACGTGTCTCTATCAATTGA